CTTTTCTGCTCGGATTTCGAGATGAGCTTTGAGCGAAGTGAGGTGGATTGTTCTCCGATTTCACATTATTCTAAGTAAAACCAACAAGAAATTAGGAAAAAAATCAATGGAAAAAACTAATAAAGTTCATTACTTTTTAAACTTTTGGAAACGAACAACTCCATAGATGTAATTTATACTGACTTTTCCGATAGGATTTCGAGATGCACTTTGAGCAAAGAGGGGTAGATTGTTCTCCGATTTCACATTATTCTAAGTAAAACCAACAAGAAATTAGGAAAAAAATCAATGGAATAAACTAATAAAGTTCATTACTTTTTAAACTTTTGGAAACGAACAACTCCATAGATGTAATTTATACTGACTTTTCCGATAGGATTTCGAGATGCACTTTGAGCAAAGAGGGGTAGATTGTTCTCCGATTTCACATTATTCTAAGTAAAACCAACAAGAAATTAGGAAAAAAATCAATGGAAAAAACTAATAAAGTTCATTACTTTTTAAACTTTTGGAAACGAACAACTCCGTAGATGCAATTTATACTTACTTTTCTCATTAAATTTCGAGATGAAATTTGAGCGAAATGAGGTGGGTTGTTCTCCGATTTCACATTATTCTAAGTAAAACCAACAAAAAATTAGGAAAAAAATCAATGGAAAAAAAATTAAAAAGTTCATTACTTTTTTAAACTTTTGGAAACGAACAACTCCGTAGATGCAATTTATACTTACTTTTCTCAATAAATTTCGTGATGAACTTTGAGCGAATGGAGGTGGGTTGTTCTCCGATTTCACATTATTCTAAGTAAAACCAACAAAAAATTAGGAAAAAAATCAATGGAAAAAAAGTTCATTTTTTTAAAACTTTTGGAAACGAACAACTCCATAGATGTAATTTATACTTACTTTTCTGATAGAATTTGGAGATGAATATTGAACGAAATGAGATGAATTGTTCTCCGATTTCAAATAACTCTAAGTAAAAACCCAAAAATTTAGGAAAAATTCAATGTAATAAAACATTCTAAAAATGATTGAATTCTTTAAGCTATTGGAAACGAACAAATCCATTGATGCAATAAATACTTTCGAGATGAGTCGAGATGAGTTCGAGATGAGTCGAACTGAATCACATTGCCAATCGACGCTTGGAAAAGAGTAATGAACGCAAGTAAACATAAAAAACACTGACTTTCTTGAAAAATTTTAACTTAAGATTTTCAAAAAAAATAGATGCCCTTTAACCTCTTGGAATTTCTCTAACATTTATGACTGGCGCTTGTGTGATAACATGAGACCAACTTGAGAAAACTGGACGAACAGAAAATTTTTATTCCGGTGTAAATCTAAAACTTAAATTCCATTTTCGAAACTAGAAATCGTTCACAGTTTTTTGCTCCAATTCCACCTTCGTATTTGGAGAATGCTATTTACGTCACTTTTAGCATATGAATTTCAATTGAACTCAAAAAGTGCATACATACCTAAGTGCATTCATAAATTCAGCTAGAAGGCCAACTAAGCTGGATCAATAGGTAAAGTTTTTTCTCCGCTGGGAAATCTTTACAAGTTGGGAAATTCAAATTTTGAGAAACTTCACCTTAAGTTTTTTTTAAAAAAGTATCACATCTCGATAACTACCCAAAAAATGAGCAATCTTTTTTGATGATAATATTGGCAATTTTTGAAAGTACACAACTACAGGGTTGAGAATTTCACTCTAATGAATTATTTTGTAGTTTGAGCTCTCTGAAAAATTTTAGAAAAAGTCATAAAAAACGTCATTTCTCGAAAACTACAAGGATTTGAGAAATGAAAATTGGAGGCAAGATTTGCAGCCCCTGAGAGTACCCTGACAGCACCCAACTACAGAGTGAGAATTTCAAAAAAAGAAGAAATTTCTCTAAAATAAATTTTCTTGAAATTTTTGAAAAATCTCGAAAATTCCCTATCTTGTAAAGTAAAAGGATTTGGTCATTTATATATGGAATCAAGAATCGCAAAACCTGGGAAAACTCTGACAATATCCTACTACTGGTTGGCTAATTACAAACTTGAAATAAACACTGAATTTAAACTGGAAAATTGAAAAAAAAACGTAACCATTGCAATATACGATATAGCTTGAACGTGAAAAAATTCTTCAGTTAAACATGCAAAAATAATACGTTGAAAAAGCTTAAACATGGCGAGATAGTGAAGCCCGCATTTAAATATATGATAGGTTTGTTTTTATAACATTTAGGAATTATGTCATTTGGAAAGTTACAGCAAAAACAAAAAGCTAAAATTATTATAAATTGTAGTAGAATTAAGCTGAGAGTTCAGTCTCTCTTCGCCTCAATTACAATAGTCGCGTGTCAATTTGGCCAAAAAAAAGAAAAATTAAGAAAAAAATGTTGAATTGGTTATGAAATAAGAAAATAATTTGAAATAATTCAACAATAACTTCGAGAACAGTTTTTTGCTCTCGGAGTGTCCAGTTAGATATACATTGATGA